TAACTGAAACGGTACCGGTAGGCCCTAGGCTAGGATAGTGTAGAATCTACAAGTAGGTTCAGGTAGGACTGTTGAGGACTTTTGGCTGTTCATTTTCGCGACGCAACGTTTGGAGAAGCCAAGCAAGTTGGCGGTGGCAATTGTCTACAGGCAGCACCCTGAGACCCTTGCTATGGACGGCAGCCATAGCCGGCCTTCTGAAGGTTGCCAGAGCTGGGGCATCCTCAGCGCATCTACCCCTGAGGGTATCTGCGTCTAGCCACGCTATATCGAGGCTCCTCACTGAGTGTTTGTGGGTGGCGGCAGCCATAGCTGCCGGTTTCTTCGTCAGAGTTGTTCATCGGCACTGAAGACTTCATCGTCGGATTTGTTCTTCATCTGGGTGGTTGGCGTTGGCCTCTGGGAGGCTGTTTCGGTTGTGCGCTACTAACTGGGTGTAGGGGAGAGAGTGGAGTGTGGGATTCGGAGTGTGGCGAGATACTAGACAAACTCTGTAACGATATCTGGTCTAATTGGCTCTTCATCAGTGTGTATTCCAATTGTTATCCTCGCAGGTTCTTCTTGTGATTGGTTGTTGGGAGTCTGTCAGAGAGTGAGAAACATTGAGTGTCTTCTCCCCATCTGTGCATGGTTGAACTTTCGCTGCCTACTCTGATCTATGTGCAGTGTGGACTTTGTCTCCTTTCCCCCTTCTCTTATGCATGTATGGGCGTGTATGAGACTGTCTGTGTGTGAGTGGCGGTAAAAATCGTCAAACAACCAAGTTCATAACAGTTGGTATTGGAGCGGGATTGGAATTGGAGCACTGAGGGTTGAGTGCAAAGGGGCATCTTCTTCATCTGGCGGTATACTGGCGAGAGGTTCATGGCAAATCATCTTCCCCAGTATTGAGTCAGCAGGGAAGAAGATTTCAAGCGGCGAAATTCGGAGTTTAGTGTTTGTACTGAGCAAGCGCACTAAGCCTGTCAGGGCGCTTGTCAGGAAGTGGCGAGAACAGGGTTAATTCGCCATAGCCAACCCTAAGGGCAGGATAGCGAAGTGCCTCAGAGTGGCGAATTACCCCTGAGGACTTCAAGGATCACTGAGCGGCTTCATCCCTAAGCAGTGTCGAGGGTGATTGACAGTTTATGTCAATCGCAGGAGGAATTAACCTCATCTGAGGCTAATTATAGCATCAGAGGCTGAGGGGACCTGTGGCGAGACAATTTTTTGTTGGCCTCTGAGTGCCACAGGGTCAGATTCAGGGAATCTGACAGCAAGGGTTGCAGCGCCTCAAGATCGTGAAGGGGATCAACAAGTTTGAAGGGGTTCTGTGTGTGGGACAGAGAGGAGGAAGCTCTGGGAGAAACTGGCGAGATGAGGGTTTCAGTCTGCCATAGCCAGATCTTCACCTAGCTCTGCAAGAAACTCTGAAAGTGAGCCAGTTCCATGCACCTACCTGTATAGCGATTCAGATAGGATTAGATTAGTCAGTAATTATGGTCTATCTGTCTGTCAGTGACTGGATGTGAAAATCGCAGACTGCATGACAGCCATAGCCATCTCTCCCCTACCTTTCTCTGCTCATTTCTAACCCTCTGTTGACTCTTTTGGATCCAAAATTGTTCTGCGACTGCTTCACTGTATTGCGCTTGATCTGAGATGCTCAGATTGTAAATTCAGTACTGGAAAAGTAGAGATACAGTGAATTGAAGTTTTGCGCTGAGTCTAATTATAACATGTGCTACCTAGGGTCAGTCATAACTTCAATTTTGTCCGTCAGAATTCAATTATGTCAGTTGCTAGTGAATCGCAATCCACAGATAGGCAATACTGCAGAAGCGCTTAATTGGATTTCTTGTATTTCACTGGAAACAATGAATACTGTACTTCGCCATACCCTAGGGTATGGCCGCCAGAGTCATCAAGACCAAAATTGGAGTTTGCGTTAGGATTTAGGGTCTTTGACTGAATTGCTCTGCTTGTTTGATCCTTTTTGTCTGTGCTTGCCATGTTCTAGCATTCCTACTGACTACTCTTGTTTTCTAGTGGGCTCTGGAAATCTAGTGTTTCTCTAGAAGAGTAGTGGATTGTGTCTACTAACTCCAGTGTGGTGCAGGGTCAGTAAAAAGGAAATCGTGTGAATGATTTTACTGGACAATCTGTCTGTCTGACGCCTGACCCCAGGGAAACCATTTTAACCCAAGCCGTTTGTTGCCTATTCACCCACCTACCTCTGTGTCTGAGGCAGCAGCGATTTCTGAGTGTCTGCAGGAAATTAAAAATCGCTGCATACTCCTCTGCTTGTCCACTATTTATTGTTGATTTGAAAGTGGAAAATGGCAGAATAGGGTACTCAGCAGCAGCCACAGGTAGAAGTGGTGATGAAGGTAGAAGGGCAAGAACCGTCTACCTCCAACCCTACTACTCCTCTGACTGCTACTCAGCAGAAGAAGGAGTTGCAAGAAAGATTGCAGCAGGAGCAGGCCTTGCTAGCAGAACTTGAGCGGCAAGAGGCAGCCGAGCTAGAGGTTGCAACACATACTTCCAGAAGGGAGTACCTGTTGGAGCAGCTAGGCAAGGTTTTGACAGATGACCGCTACTCCCAGGTGAATAAGAACCTGGCGGAGTGGGCTCTTCTGGAGCACAAGGCCACCGGTTCTTATTTCACTAATTGGGATGATCGCATCGGCCGCCTGGAGCGCAGGGTGGACTACCTGGCAGCTCAACAGTCCAAGATACTGAATGCAATTCAGAATCTGACTGCTCAGCTGACTGCAGCCAAACTGATTGCTCCCCAGTCTCCTGCCACCTCAATGAAACTCAAACCTTCCTCTTCTCCTCCTTCAACTCCCCCTGGCTCACGTCCATCTTCCCCTTCACCACCTCCTTCCCAAAAAACCTCAGTCAAACCCACCTTTGCTGCTGTTGTTGCAGGGGATCAGATAGGTCCCAAGATACCTGCCCCCAACAAATTCAGAGGGGATGACCCCAAGACTGATGTTGGGGACTGGGCTGCAGGGACCAGAGCCTACTTGAGGGGCTTCATATGCCCAGAACAGACAAAGGTGGCTACAAAAGTGGGCTACCTCTACCTCCAACGGTTTGCAGAAAACCATGGAGGATTGGGCTTTGGGATTGGGGGTGGACAGTCTTCTGCAGGCTTTGGAAGACTGCTTTGCAGACGAGGAGCGGACCCGCAAAGCTGCTGACAGGATTGCTCGCCTGGGGCAGCAACGCTACAACGGTTCCCTGCAATCGTTGTTTGTAGAGTTCGAGCAACTAACTTCCACACCTGGCTTGGTCATGTCTGCAGATGACCTATTAACAAACTTCTGCAGGGCAGCCCCTGAGAAGTTTTTTGTTGCTTTGTACAACGTTGGGCACAAGGATTGGAGATCCTTTGGCCGTGCAGCCCTGGACATGGAGGCAAAACTTCATGTCCAGGCCCCCTCCTCTAACAAGAGGAAAGGTGCCTTCCCTCGTGGTGGTAGAAAGGGAAAGGCAGCCTTTGCACATGCAGGGTCTGCATCAGCTTCTGATTCAGACTCCCAGGTTGATACACCATCAACTGGGACTGGATCAGCTGCTGAAACAGATGTTGCAGCGGCCCTGACTCAGGTTGTTCTGGGAGTTCTGCAACAGCAGAAGAGATTCTCTCCCACCACAGCCTCGGCCAGTCCCAAGGGGAAGGACAAGGGACGTCGGCCTTCCTCCTCCCAACGCCCTAATCTGCCCAAAGACGTCCGGATGCCAGCTGACCCTCTCAATCCCTCCACTCTCCCCTGACATGGCCTCAAGATCGAGGAGGGAGTGTGGAGAAGAAGAAAGGAAAAAGGGGTCTGCCTGAGGTGTGCGGGGCAACACTTTTTGAAGGACTGCCCTTACATGCCAGGCCCAGGTCAGTCAAAAAACTGAAACAGACCTTGGGGACTGCAGTTCCCCCCAGTGCTGCACCTTCATCTACACAGGTAGGTGAATCTGCAGTTGTTTCAGCTGAGACTGTATGTGAGTGTTTGCGGACTGCACGGGCAGCATCCTTCTGCTATGAGGATCCTGACCCGGATCAGGACCCGGGGCAGGATGAGCTTCAGTCACTTGCTGCTTTCTTCCTTCATCTGAAGGAACAGAAGAAAAGCAAGTCTGATGTCATCCTACTTCGGCCCCTGATCAACCACATCAGGATCAAAGAGTTGTTAGATTGTGGAGCCACTAGGAACTTCATTTTTCCCAGTGTTGTAAAGAAACTGCATCTGGGTATGAAAGTTCAGCAGCTGCAGCAACCTTTGCTGGTCAGGATAGGTGACTCCACTGTTCTTACTATCAGGGAGAAGGTCAGGGGTATCCCTGTTACCTTCGACAGTGCGGGAGAAGTCAGACATAGTCTGAACTTCTACATCTTCCCTGACCTACCCTTTGACCTGGTGTTCTCTATGCAGTGGCTAAAGGTCATCAACCCAAGGATCGACTGGCAGATCCCAAAGGTTGAACTGCCTAACAGATAGCGGGTGTATCAGCCATGCATGATTGCTGTTGAACACCACCCTAAGACCAACTGCTACTGTTTGAGAGCGAGGGAGTTCTATGCTCTCTCGCGCCAGTATGGCCATGAGCACATGTTCTTGGCCTTGGTCAAGCAGACAGATGCTCCTACTAATTCTTGTCCTCCTGAGATACAGCAGGTGGTGGACCAGTATGCTGATCTGACGCAGGAGCCCTTTGGGTTACCCAACCGGCCCACCAAGCATCACATTGAGCTACTACCTGGAGCGGTCCCTCCCAAGGGCCGCATCTACAGGATGTCCCCTGTTGAGCTTGAGGAGCTCAGAAAACAGCTTGAAACCCTGACCAGAAAACGCTAGATACGGTCGAGCACTTCTGAATTTGGGGCACCTTTCCTCTTCGTCCCGAAAGCGAATGGAGAATTCAGAATGTGCATCGACTACAGGGGTATAAATAAGATCACTAGGAAGAGTACAGAGCCACTTCCTAGGATCAATGACCTGCTGGATATGGTGCAGGGCTGCACAGTGTTCAGCAAACTCGATCTCAAATCTGGCTACCACCAAATCGAGATGGCAGAGGAGGATGTTTATAAGACAGCCTTCAAGACCAGATATGGTACTTATGAGTTCCTGGTCATGCCATTTGGACTTTGCAATGGCCCAGGTACCTTCCAGACAGAGATGCACCGCATCTCCAAGCCTTACCTGGACAAGTTCATGGTTGTCTACCTGGATGACATCCTGGTATTCAGCAGAACTGCCAGGGAGCATGCGGAGCACTTGGCTCTTGTCCTTCAGTCGTTACGTGACAGCCAGTATAAGATTAACAGAGAGAAGTCCTCGTTTGGAGTTCCCGCTGTTATCTATCTGGGTCATGTAATCTCTGGAGATGGCTTGGCTCCTGAAGCAGCCAAGATAGCTGTTATTCAAGAGTGGCCATCGCCATAGACAGTGAGGGATGTCAGGTCCTTCATGGGTTTAACCTTCTACTACAGGAAGTTTGCCAGGAACGTTTCTGCAGTGGCTGCACCCCTGACCAACCTAACAAAGAAAAACACTCCTTTTCTTTGGTCCCTTCCCTATTAGTTGGCCTTCGCACGACTCAAGAAGGCCTTGACTCATGCACTTGTGCTGAAGTTACCTGACCGCACTCTGCCATTCATCCTGACCACTGACGCTAGTCAGTATGGCATTGGGGCAGTTCTTCAGCAAGATGATGGGAATGGTCTACGAACTGTAGAGTTCATGAGTAAGAAGATAAAAACACAGAAGCTTTAGGACTCTACCTACGAGAAAGAGTTATATGCTCTTGTCTGTGCCCTGAAACATTGGAAGCACTTTCTCCTGGGAAGACACTTCAAGATCTTCTCTGATCACTCCACATTACAGTGGATGAAGTCCCAGGGAGAGTTAAATGATAAACTAGCACGATACATTCAGTTCATAGACGTGTTTGACTTTGAACTGAAACACAAGAAGGGCTGCTGCAACAAGGTAGCGGATGCCCTCTCTCGTAGGCCTGACTCTTTTGCATTGATCTCCTCCACTCACTTGTTTGGAGAGGATACCCGTCAGACCATTGCTCGTATTCTGCCTCAGGACCCGATTTTTTGGCCCATAGTGAGGAATCTGCAAGCGGATCCCAATGCTGAACCCGACTATGCCCTGAGTTCAGACTTGCTGTATACCTACAACAGAGGTGAGGAGCGCTTGTGCATTCCCTAGGATCAGCGGCTCAGGACATTACTGATGTCAGAGTGTCATGATGCCCGTGGACACTTTCGGTTCTTAAAGTCGTATGCAGCCCTGTCGCAGCGCTTCTTCTGGAAGGAGATGCGGAGTGATATGTTGCGCTATGTGGAAACCTGTGAGCTTTGCTAGAGGAACAAGGTCCAGCGTAGGCCTCCTCTGGGACTACTCAAATCCTTACCCATACCTGATGACCCTGCTGAATCTGTGTCGATTGACTTCACAGATTTAGGCAAGACCACCCCTCGTGGTATGCGTCAGGTAATGGTCTGCGTAGACAGGTTCTCCAAATACGCAGAGTTCATCCCCTTGCCAGAGGTAGCTAGAGTCCCGGCTGTGAGAGCAGCCTTCTCAGAGAGGTGGGTCACACACCATGGACCGCCCACTTCTATAGTCAGTGATAGAGACCCCCGATTTTGCAACGATGAGTGGCAGTCCTACTGTAAGGACTACCTGCACTCATGATTGGACATGACTTCTGGTCATCATCTTGAAGCCAATGGTCAGGCTGAAGTGATGAACCAAGTCTTATTCCAATTGCTACGTCCTGTCATCTCTCCAGATCAACAGGACTGGGATCTCCACTTGGCTCGGGCACAGCTTGTTTATAACATGTTTGTCCACTCCTCGACTGGGTTCAGTCCATACCGGTTGCACTGGGGACGTGAACCACGATAGCCTCTTGATGATATCATCGATAAGGCTAAGTCAGACCTGACACCAGGCACTGCAGAGTTCACCAGACGCTATCGGATAGATGTGGAAAGAGCACGGGCGAACTTGTTCAAAGCCCAAAAGGCAATGATTGAACAAGCTAATCGCCACAGGCGGCCTTCCCCCATCCGCACTGGTGATTATGTTTGGGTAGCCAATTCTGAGCTGTCGAGGGAGGAGGATATCTCCCCCAAGCTGTTGCCTCGTTACTTGGGTCCATGGCAGGTCTTAGATACAGTGGGCGCTGATCCATTCGGTCCATCTATGTCATCGACGTCCCATTGCATCTACGAACCTACCCGGTCTTCCATGCATCTAAGCTGCTTCCATTCACCCCAGCTGATGCATTCCCAGATCAGCCTCCTCAATTTGGTCCACCGATCCCTGGCAAGGGGTATGACGTGGAGTGGATTGAGGATGAGTGGGGCACAGGCCCCGATCGACAGTATCTTGTGAGGTTCGCGTTCCAGCCTCCTTCTGAGAACAGATGGTTCTACAGAAGGGAACTTCTCAAGACAACAAAGTCAGTTGTTTTACGATATGAAGCGACTCAGAAGGGCAACCTTCGTCGCCGTTCACCTCGTCTGCATTCCTAGCTCGGAGGTCCTCGTTCCCCGGGGGGGTAAGCCTGCAATGACTTGCTGATTTCAACTGCCGAGACTGACTGCGACGTTGTACAGTGCACTGTTGTGTTTGCTGTGTGCTTTGCTGTGTTTTTTTTGTTTGCACTGAGGGCCGCCCGTTGTTCTAAAAATAGCCTGAATTAACAGCAGTAGGGGCTGAGTGGTTACCGGCCCTAAGTGGCCTTGAGCCCTAAGTGCAGCAGTAGGACCGATTTNGAGTGGTTACCGGCCCTAAGTGGCCTTGAGCCCTAAGTGCAGCAGTAGGACCGATTTCGTAGAGGCCGAGTAGGCCCTAACTGAAACGGTACCGGCAGGCCCTCGGCTAGGATAGTGTGGAATCTACAAGTAGGTTCAGGTAGGACTGTTGAGAACTTTTGGCTGTTCATTTTCGCGACGCAGCGTTTGGAGAAGCCAAGCAAGTTGGCGGTGGCAATTGTCTACAGGCGGCATCCTGAGACCCTTGCTGTGGATGACAACCATAGTCGGCCTTCTGAAGGTTGCCGAGCTGGGGCATCCTCAGCGCATCTACCCCTGAGGGTATCTGCGTCTGGCCAGGCTATATCGAGGCTCCTCACTGAGTGTTTGCGGGTGGCGGCAGCCATAGCTGCCGGTTTCTTCGTCAGAGTTGTTCATCGACACTGAAGACTTCATCGTCGGATTTGTTCTTCATCTGGGTGGTTGGCGCTGGCCTTTGGGAGGCTGTTTCGGTTGTGCGCTACTAACTGGGTGTAGGAGAGAGAGTGGAGTGTGGGGTTCTAAGTGTGGCGAGATACTGGACAAACTCTGTAACAATATCTGGTCTAATTGGCTCTTCATCAGTGTGTATTCCAATTGTTATCCTCGCAAGTTCTTCTTGTGATTGGTTGTTGGGAGTCTGTCAGAGAGTGAGAAACATTGAGTGCCTTCTCCCCATCTATGCATGGTTGAACTTTCGCTGCCTACTCTGATCTGTGTGCAGTGTGGACTCTGTCTCCTCTCCCCCTTCTCTTATGCATGTATGGGCGTGTATGAGACTGTCTGTGTGTGAGTGGTGGTAAAAATCGTCAGACAACCAAGTTCATAACATATGTATGATGATGAGAGTATGCTAACGTGGCATTTTGGCTGAGGTGGCACTGCATTGCGTTGTGGGAGGTACCGAGGCTATTGACCGATCATCGAAATGCACGTCGGCCCAATTGGTGAGAAATCTGTGGTTGGGGGCAGCTATCTCCAGGTACGTTGTTCCCATTCCTTATCTACCCTCTCAATCTCCTCTTACCGTGAGGAAGTGAGTCCAACTTGAGTGTCCTCTCTTTGGTGAGGAGTCGTGTGCGCTCTACCTTGAGAGACGACATTCTTCCCGGTGGCGCATCAGGCAGGAGAGGGCGGTGCCTCTGAAGGGCCCTAGTCGAAGCACGGGTCACGGTCACCATGCCAACCCATGAGAGTAGTACATGCAGGCTTTGCTGCTTTGTCCATTGAGGCTCTTTGTTGTGTTGATAGAAGGGGTGTGCGGACTGACCAGTGCTAATGCAGGCGCTCCCAGACCGTCTATAAATATTTCTGGAACAAACGCTCCTCGACTGTCTATTAACATTTTTGGTTGGGGTCCGATCTGTCCACTGGCTGTGATCGTCTTCCTGATTGTGATGTTAAATAATTCCTGAGGACTCTCGGGGGATGTCCTTAAATTGCTTCTTGATCAGCTAGATCAGTCGGATGTAAGGCTCGTTGCATGGGAGAGTAAACAAAGGGCAGGCTGGTCATAAGCATATACCTTGGGCACAGGGGTGGGCCGTGATTGCACCATTTAGAGACCACAACTTGATGATGCTTACAGGTACATTGGATACAATGGAAGGGGATTTCAATTGTGAACTCTACTGTACATCACTATCATATCCATTGTGCGTACATCTGCTCACTGTAGTTTATTTTTATCTTGCTTAGTTGGTTGACAGACTGCTAACACCTAACAGACAGCCCACAGTAGGACTGTAAACTACCATAGTCAGTTTTTCTCCAAGCTTTTGTGCAGAACTTATCAGGATAGGAGATAGGCTAGGTGTAAAGTCTGTGAAAGTGTTGATTGATACCGCTTGAATAGTAGCCCAGGTGACTCGCTGGATAATTGTTTATTTATTTATTTTTAGCACCAGTTAGACGTATGATGCGGTAGGTCCCAGAGAGGACTCTAGTGCAGACAGCATCTGCCTAGCCGGTGAGTGGATCAGCCGGGGATGAAGGTACAACTAACGATAGGAGGTTAACAAGGATATCATCGCTTAGAATCCCTAGAGTGTTCCAGGCCCTACAACCGAGAGAAGAGAGAAGACTAAGGGTCGAAGCTAGGGCCCGTAGTCTTGAGGCTGCAAGGGAAGCAGCAGCGGCCGAAGCAATGGTGTTGGCAGCAGCTAGTGAGGTAGCAATGACTACAGCTTCAGCAACATCTGCAGCAACCTCTGGTCTGGGCGTGTCGCCCAACTTGACCAGTTCGCAGTTAGTATCCAATACATCAGGGGCTGGTGCTAGTCAGATGGCGGGTGTGCAGTCCAGCTCGCCACCTCATCTTATTAGGGAGTAGATGGAGCTCTAGCAGGTAGAGAGGATCCGCCTAAGGTTAGAAGAGGAACTCAAGCAGGCTACTAAGAGAGAAAAAGAGATCAGAGAGAGAAGAGCTAGACTAGAGAGTAGGGCGGCAGACCTAGCTGCACTAGAGGGTTTAGATGACGCGGCCCTTAACTCTACAGGAAAGATTCTTAAGGCGAGCGTCCTGTCCATACAGGCGTACATGGAGAGAAAAACGGACGCCATGCAGGACACCCTGGACCAGATTTTGCAGGCCCTACAAAGGCCACGGATCC